CTCTGGTCAGAGTAAAATTAATTAATTAATTTAATAATTATTTTTAAAGAAGATTGTGGAGAGCAGCCAATTTGAAAACATGTGGTGTCCCGGCAAAAGAGGGAGAGAGAAAAGTAAATAATCCATGTACATCCTGTATACATAGGACCAAGTATCCAGATACCCACCACGCCCCCAAGGCATTTGTGATCAAAAGCATGAACTATTGGCATATCAAATTCCAGAGACTTCTCAGGGCGTGGGTGTATAGGATGCCATGGCTCTTAGAAATGCCCATGAAAACCAGTTCTAAGAGCTTTCCCCCCCCTTTATTTTAATAGTTTTCTCTAGGGTAAATGTGTTTGTAAGGCAGAAAAAAAAGAGAAATCACCCCCTGAGGCAGATGGCCATAGTGCAATTCTTCTCCTCCATTCTCCTTTTCGGATTTTGGGTATACACTCCTAGTGTGTTTTTCAAACCTATGGGTCTGGGACTCAGCATGGCAGGCTATGTGGAATCCAGCTGCCTTAAGTGCCTTAACCTCCAGGCCACCCGCCAGCCTTGGGTTCACTATTTTCTAGAAGTACAGCTTAACCAGTACATAGTATATACTTATGAGAGTGTTAAAAGGCTGCTTTGTGACTTGCATAAGCTTTAAAGGATTTATCACCAATTCCTCCCGGAAAAAAGGTGGATTATTGTATGAGATGATGGACCTTTGAGAAATCCTTTTATAGCAATAATTATTTACAGACCGGTTCCATGTCACATTGGCAATGTGCTGCTCAAGAGAAAGCAGGTCCCATGTGGTGACCACAGTTTGAATCCCTGGCTGAGTCAGCGGACGCATGTTGGGCACGTGCACAAGTGCTCAGTTCTGATGTCCTGGAAGGCAAAGGAAGGGGTGTGGCGTGACCAGACCCTGTGGAGGGTGCCCAGCTCTCTCACATGATGTGCACATACTCTGTCATGGTTAAAGAGAGAGAAACAAGCCAGACACATACACACATAAATATTTTTAAATTTTATTCATTATCATCATTTTTAAAAAATTATTTAATTTTGTTATTTATTATTATTTTTTTATTTGACTAAAGCAACAGCTAGAGAAGGGGAAAGTGAGAAAGCAAGCCACCAGGTCCGGGACTCAAACTGCACTTCGCCGTGTGGGAGTCTAGCACCCTAACCACCTCGCCACCTGCTGCCCAATTATTATTAAATTTGACCGGAGGGGGGGGGAGTGGAGAAGCAAGCCGCCCAGGTTCAGGGCTCAAACCATGGTCAGTCATGTGATATACCGGTGCCTCAACTACCACGCCACCTGTCAGCCTCTACATATAAATATTTAGGGCCAGGGACCAGCAGATGGCATAATGGTTACATCTCTGGGCTCCCACATAGTCGACTGTGGTTTGAGTGCCAGACCTAGCTGCTTAAACTCACAATGGGTATGTGTTTGTGTGCATACATGTGCCCCTAAGATCCCAGGAGGAATGGATTGTGGGGTGACCTGTAGGATGATTTCTTGCTTTCTCTCTCTCTCTGGTGAGCACACATACCCTACCCTACAGCTAAAAAAAAAAAAAAAAAAAACCTCTTAAAAATATTTAGAGGCCAGCAGGTGGTGCAGTGGTTAAGGGCACTGGACTCCCACGTGGCTGACTGGTTTGAGTCCCAGACCTGGAGGCTTGCTTTCTCACTTTCTCTCACTTTCTCTCTCTCTCACTTTCTCTCTCTCTCTCTCTGTCCCTTCTGGTTAAAATTAAATAAATAAAAATTCATTAAAAAAAAAAAAACTTAGGGCCAACCCTATGGCCTAGTGGTTAGGGTAGCTGGATCCCATAAAGCTGACCATTCAGTTCAAATCCTGGCCCCAGCGCCTTGAGAAGCATATTGGGCATGTGTGTGCATGTCAAAAATCCCAAAAGGTTAAAGAAAGAGAAAGGATTGTGGCATGACTGTGCCCACTGGGAGATGGATACTCTGCCCTCTCCACCCCCCCCCCCACCACCACCTCTCTCTGGCAAGTACATGGACCCTATGGCAAGTTAAAAAAATTTTTTTTTAAGAATTTAATTTTATTTATTCATTCATTTAATTTGACCAGAGATAGAGAAGTAAAGTGAGAAAGCAAGCTGCTAGGTCTGGAACTCAAACTTTGGCCATGTGGGAGTATCCATCGCCTCAACCACACCACCTGCTGGCCCCCTAAAAAATTTTTTTAAGATACTCGTTTCATGGGACCGGCATTAGCGTAATGGCTATGTTGCTGGACTCCCACGTAGTCAACCGCAGTTTGAGTCCCAGACCTGGTGGTTTAATAAACTCATGCCAGGCATATGTGTGTGCATGCCCAAGATCCCAGGGCGGGGATGGAGGAGAGGGGATTGCGGCTTGGCCATACCCCCCCGGGGGTGTCTCTCTGTCTTCCTCTCAAGCACCCTATATCAAAAGCCTCTCAAAAAAAATAAAATAAAATAAGATACTTGTCTGAGGCCAGCCAGGTGGCGTGGTGGTTAAGGCAGCTGGATCACACGTGGCCAACTTCACAATTTGAGTCCTAGATCCAGTGGCTTGAAAAATACTCCAAGCCCATGTGTATACCCAAAATCACAAGAGCGGAATTGAGCAAAAGAATCTCTATATCTCTCTCACAAACACATGCACCTTCTGAGCAGGAAAAAAGGAGATACTCATCTGTCTTCAGTGTAGATGGAGGTATAGAAGTTGAGGGTTGGTTTGGTTTTTTGCTATAGGGCGCATGCGCTCGCCAGAAAGAGAAGGACAGAAAGAGAGAAATCACCCCCCGGGGGGATGGCCACACTGCAGTCCTTTTTCTCCATTCTCCTCTCACAGGATCTTGGATTTGAACCGTGGTCGACCACATGGGAGTCCAACGACATAGCCATTATGCCAACTGCTGGTCCCAGAAGTTGAGTTTTCTAACAATTACATTTTCTTGACTTGGGTTTATTGAATGGAATGAATGGAATTTTAGGCTTTGAGGGAAATGCTTTAAAGGTGGTGGTTAGGAAAATTCTGAGCCTGCAGGGAATTTCTGGATGTGTGAATCATTACAGAATTCTGTATTGGAAACCTGGCTTACATCACCATTTAAAGAATGCATATTGTTCACTTATTCTGTTGTGGTTTTATAACTTGTAAATTTGTGAGAGAAGAATGGTGAGCTCAGCTGGGTATTGGCTTAGAAATAAGAGCTGTACTTGAATCTTACAGTGAAATCTTTGTGTCAGGTTCTTCGATCTTTGTGTCAGGTTCTTCATGTGTCTTTTATTTTTACTTTTTCTGTTTTTTTTTTTTTTTTTTGGAGAGGTTTTAGCTATAGGGCACATGCGCTCGCCAGACAGACAGAGAGAGACAGAGAGACAGAAAGCGAGAAATCACCTCCCAGGGGGAATGGCCGTGCGACAATCCCTTCTCCTCCATTCCCCTCTTGGGATCTTGGGCACGCACGCACACGTGCCCAGCATGAGTTTAAGCCACCAGGTCCAGGACTTGAACCACGGTCGACTACGTGGGAGTCCAGCAACATAGCCATTACGCTAACTGCTGGTCCCGTGTCTTTTTTATTTTTTAATAATTATTTTATTTAACTTTATTTATTTCCTTGTTTTTCAATTTGACCAGAGAGAGGGACAGAGCGAGAAAGTGAGAAAGTAAGCTGCCAGATCCAGGAATTGAACCGTAGTTGGCCATTTTGGAGTCTAGTACCCTTAACCACCATGCTGCCTGCTGACCCCAAGGTTCTGTATATGTCTTGACACCTGCTTGTTCTGAAGATGCCTGCACTTTTTTCTTCTTGCTTCTTTATTGAGCTTATGGATGTTGTTCCTTTTTATTTCTTTCCTGTATCTTTTATAAAAATAAACTTTTTATTACATTATGAACACATAGCTCTTAGGGCCTGGTTTAACTTTAGTTGTTAAATGAAAGTCATGAGGGGCTGGCAGATGGTAAGGTGATTAAGGCTCTGGACTCTCACATGGCCAGCCATGGTGCTTTCTCTCTTTCTTTTCTTTTTTTTCCTTTGGAGAGGTTTTTGCTATAGGGCGCATGTGCTCGCCAAGAAGAGAGACCGAAAGTGAGAGATCAGCCCCCAGGAGGGATGGGCACGCCACAATCCCTTCCCCTCCATTTTCCTCTTGGGATCTTAGGCACGTGCGCGCACACACACCCGGCGTGAGTTTAAGCCACTGGATCCAGAACTCGAACTGCGGTCAACCACATGAGAGTCCAGTGACATAGCCATTATACCAACTGCTGGTCTCTTGCTTTCTCACTTTCTCTGGTCAAATTAAAAAATTGATAAATATTTTTTTTCTTTTTTTCTTTTTTTTTTAATCATAGTGATGAACAAAGTTGGCACGTTATAGGTAACGCTTGGCCATAGCTGTCCAGAGTTGACAGAATTTGATACTGACCAGTAATTCTTCCTGAATTTGTTTCGTTGTTGTTGTTTATTTTGTTAATCGCAGGTGTTTTCCTTCTGTGACTTTTCGTGAGCAGTTGGAACTGTAAGTCACCTCCTGTAGAGATGGGCGTCCCAGTGACTAAGAGCCAGCTGCTGGTTGTTCTAGCTGAACAGCTTGCTCCGAGTTGGCTGCTCGAACCCCAGAGAGAGGTAGTGGCTGCGCCAGGGGATTGAGCGCACAGAGTGAAGATTTTTGCAAGCCTTATTAAACTTGCTGAGGTTCTTCTGCCTTGGCTTTTTCCTATAGGTGCCAGAGTTCGTTTGCTTCTGCTTTTCACAAATGAGTCATCTTCCTGTTTTATTTTCTTATACTAAAATGGATTAAGAATCTTTGGGTCATTGTCTTGTAGTTTCTCCTACCACATGTATTGAGAGGAGAAAACTGTGGCGTTCAAACTTGAGCTTGTTGGGGTCTCGTTCTGATTGATTCTGGTGGTACATAGAAAACTTTTTCTTCTTGAATATGACGTTTTAGTAATTCATTGTTTTCTGAAGGAGGAAGCTTATGACACCTTTTTTTCTTTTCCAGAGGGAGTCTGGAAAAGTTGCAAGCAGAACATCATTTATTTAAGAAAAATTTGGGTAACAGACGTTCTGGATAACAGGTAAAGTTATTTAAACTTATTACAAATCACCTACCTATAATCTGCATAAGCAAACTGGGAGAGGGAGGAGAAGTTTAAAAAGCCAAGTGCACTTTGTGTCAAGGACTGTATTGGGGTTTCACATGTGTTATTTTATTTAGGTGTTTGTTACCTCGATTCTGGACATAGAGAGCTAAGAAGCTCAAAATGAAGCAATCCTTTAAAATACTGTATTAAATGAATTTGCCTACTGATAATGGGGTTTAATGATCTCACAATGTAGTTTAACAGATATTTCTTACATCTGCCATAAACAATTATAAACAATTACAAAATTAGAATTTTGTTATGTATAAATGAGTTATAATATTTGTTGCAACACCGTTCACCTGTGAGTTTTTCTGGTTTTAATTTTTAGGTTTTTGCCGTAGGGCATATATGCTTGCTGGAAAGACACAGTGAGAGAGAAAATGAGAAATCACCCCCTAGAGGGGATGGCCATGCTGCAATTTCTTCTCCTTCCGACATTTTGGGTACGTGGGCACATGAGCCCAACATGACTTTCAAGCCACCAGACCAGGTCCGGGACTCGAACTATGATCAGCCACGTGCAAGTCTGGTGCCTTAACCACCAGCTGGCCCTGGTGGTATGGTGTTTAAGTGGACTTTTAAGTGACACCAGAATCTACTGTGTTTTGCAGCCTAGCTAAGGGAGTGTCTTTCTAGTTATTTTCTTCTTCTATTTTAGTTCTTGATCATTGCCATTATTTGCAGCCGTACCTAATCTCCTTAAGTTTCCTAGTAAGCTATCTTTTCATAGAGCAGTGAAGCCCAAGTGTTCCCTTTATGTTCTCAGAAATAGCTGCCAGGTCCAGGACTTGAACTGTGCAGTTGGCCATGTAGAATGTAGCTGCCTTAATACGAGGCCACTGGCTGGCTCCAATTTTTTTAACCAGGAAAGACATGAAAGCAAACTAGACCCTCTAGGACCCTGTAGGCCCAAAAAGGTGCTCATAGCCCAAAGGAAATTGTCCTACCTAAGGGAAGTAGAGAGTGAGATGCTCCTTAATGTAGCATTTGTTCTAATATGAGTCTTGAAGTTAGATTTCAAGTATGCAGAAAAGTACTTCCTGGAGATATCATAAATTAAAACTAAATTGTTTATTTAATATCTGTTGGTTTTCCCACTTTTATCAGGACAAACCAATTCCTTCATCATGAGTTGGAGCTTCCTGACTCGCCTGCTAGAAGAGATCCACAACCATTCCACCTTTGTGGGGAAGATCTGGCTCACTGTATTGATAGTCTTTCGGATTGTCCTTACAGCTGTAGGAGGAGAGTCCATCTATTATGATGAGCAAAGTAAATTTGTGTGTAACACAGAGCAGCCGGGCTGCGAGAATGTCTGCTACGATGCCTTTGCACCCCTCTCCCATGTGCGTTTCTGGGTATTCCAGATCATCCTGGTGGCCACCCCCTCAGTGATGTACCTGGGCTATGCCATTCATAAGATTGCCAAAATGGAGCATGGGGAAGCAGACAAGAAGGCATCTCGGAGCAAACCCTATGCAATGCGTTGGAAACAGCACCGGGCTCTGGAAGAGACAGAAGAGGACCATGAAGAGGATCCCATGATGTATCCAGAAATGGAATTAGAAAGTGAAAAAGAAAATAAAGAGCAAAGCCAACCTAAACCCAAGCATGATGGCCGTCGGCGAATTCGGGAAGATGGACTCATGAAGATCTATGTGCTACAGTTGCTGGCAAGGACTGTGTTTGAGGTGGGTTTTCTCATCGGGCAGTATTTTCTGTATGGCTTCCAAGTCCACCCATCTTACGTGTGTAGTAGACATCCTTGCCCTCATAAGATAGACTGCTTTATTTCTAGGCCCACTGAAAAGACCATCTTCCTTCTGATAATGTATGGTGTTACAGGCCTTTGCCTATTGCTTAACATTTGGGAGATGCTTCACTTAGGGTTTGGGACCATTCGAGACTCACTAAACAGTAAAAGGAGGGAACTTGAAGATCCGGGTGCTTATAATTATCCTTTCACTTGGAATACACCATCTGCTCCCCCTGGCTATAACATTGCTGTCAAACCAGATCAAATCCAGTACACCGAATTGTCCAATGCTAAGATCGCCTACAAGCAAAACAAGGCCAACAGCGCCCAGGAACAGCAGTATGGCAGCCATGAGGAGAGCCTCCCAGCCGACCTGGAGACCCTGCAGCGGGAGATCAGAATGGCTCAGGAACGCTTGGATCTCGCAATCCAGGCCTATAATCACCAAAACAACCCCCATGGTCCCCGGGAAAAAAAGGCCAAGGTGGGGTCCAAAGCTGGGTCCAACAAAAGCAGTGCTAGTAGCAAATCAGGGGATGGAAAGACCTCCGTCTGGATTTAATCTTGGCTGGGCTTCAGACTTGTGCTTTTCATAGTTCATGGTAAGCAGCGGCTCACTGAATAATGACTTCCATTGAGTAAACATTTGGCTCTGGTTCTCTTCAGGGATGCTGCTGGCTCGTAATCGAAACTCAGGGGACTCTGAAGGTGGTGGGGCCGGATGGGCGAGGGGCACGTGTTCTCAGCAATAAGACAGTTGCAAGACTCTGCATTTGTGTCTTCCAGATCTGGAGAACAGATTTAAATCATTCTTGTTGAACAGTTTTTGTATGTACAGTATTATGGTACTTTTTTTTAGTATGAGAATTTTTTGTATTTGTACATTGAACTGCTGTAGTTATACTTTTGTATTAAAGGGAAAAAATCCTTGTAAGTAATGCCTATTAGGCTAGTTTCATTACTTTAAGCAAATTCTGCTCTGGGTGTGAGTTTTAATAGATTCTACACTTAATAAAAGTGCCTCTCACGTTGCAGGAAAGATTTCAAATATGTAAGGAGATTGAGGATGAAGTGTAAGTTTTTAGTCTGGAGAAGATGACTGAGATCCTCTTGTACCTGAGAAATCTTTAGCTCTTATTCATGTGACCAGAGTTATAGCTGATCTTTAAAAACCTATTTACATTTCCAAAGGAGAAAAATGATGTAGCGCAGGATTCCTTTGAATATCAAGCTTGGCCAGTATGTTTTTATGGTGTGTATTTTTGTTTCCCAAAGACCAGTACATACAGGTTTCCCCAATCTGTAGCAGTTTGGAGAGCCCCACTAGAGCTGATGCTAACAAGCTGCTTCTCTTAAAAAGCAAAACCACACCTGGAAAATGAGCCCTGATAGGATATTAAGTTGTGAACGTTTGATTTGCCTTAAGCCTCTATCTAGAAACCTGCCTCCTTCTCTCTCCCTCCCTTGCTCCCTCCCTCCCTCTCCCTCTCCCTCTCCCTCTCCCTCTCTCTGGTTTCTTAGTAAACCAGTGAAGGATATTTTCTTTACTTGTTAATATTAGAAATAAACAATTCCCTTGTAGAGTAAGAATATTCATAGCTTCTAGTACTGCAAATGGCAGAAGGCCTAAATCCAAGTTTCTTAATTTTTAAAATTTACCATGGGACTTTTATCCTTTACTTACTTCTGCCAATGTGGCTTTCTGCCTGAAAGGCCATTGTGACCTGGCGTTGTCTGTAAATAGACCTAAAGAGAAGTTCAGTGTTATTCCTTATGGGCATATGTATTTGTCAGTGGCAAGCATTAATGTTTATAACAATAATAATTTGCAGTATTTTATTGCCATTTCAAACGTACCTTATGTTGGAGAACTTTGCTCTCCCACCCTGTTCACATCATTTGTCTTTAAGTTTGTGAACCTTTTGAGTAAGAGCCTGATGGTGGTTTTAAAGGAGCCTCTGCTCCATCGGGGAGCATATCTCATTTGGGTGTCAGTGCTCTTTTCCAACAGAAGACTGTTAGAAGCCCCCTCTGACTTTGAAATTTCTGAAGTAGTGGTTTTTATTTCGTTTTATAGTTTTCCAACAGGGCATATGCGCTCACCAGAGAGGGAGGGAAGGTGAAAAATCGCTCCTCAGAGAGGATGGCCAGGCTGCAGTCCCTCCTCTTCTATTCTCCTCTCGGGTTTTGGGGCATGTACATGCATGCATCTGGCGTGCTTTGCAAGTCCCTGGGTCTGGGACTCAAATTGCACAGTTGAGACCATGTGGGATCCAACCACCTTAACCTCCACACCACCATACATAAGTGTTTATTTTCCTTTTTTTGCATCTTTAATTTTTAGCCTAGAGAATCTGTTCCTCAAGCGACCCAAACGTCTTAATCAAAAAGTAAGCTTAGGTGAGATGGGAAATTTCAAAAAATGAGCCGCAAATGCGTATTATGCATAATGAATAACCATGCAGTTACCTTCAAACTGGATATTTAGTAACAAAATTTATATAATTTTAAGAAAATGGGAAAGATTCTACACAGCTAAGGCTAAGATGACGAACTACCAATTAATTCTTCCATCCCTGGAGCTTCCAGCAGATTTCTTAATTGAAGGACAGAAAGTACACACACACACTTGCTCCATCTATTCAGGGCCTAAAGGAGAGCAGAGTGGCTTTGCCAGTGGAAAGGTTGGAGATTTGAGAGTGGCGGAGAGAAGGAGTCAAGCAGAAATGCCAGGAAGAACCAGGCAAAGACATATGATGCCGCAAGCATCCTCTTAGTTTCCACAAACAGTCCCCCTGGTGTTTCGTCTTGGCCTGTTCTGATGGGAATGTTATCTTTCTGGATAATTCTTCAACCTCTCCTGTTGTTCTCTTTTTTTCTTTTCTTCTTTTTTTAACGAGACAAGCTTTCATCGTGTTGCCCAGGCCAGCCTTGAACTTGTGATCCTCTTGCTTTAACCTCCTGAGTTTAACTTCTTAAAGTATTTAGAAAGATATCTAATTTACCTCCCACATGCATCTTTAAAATCTATTTTTATTCTCTACCTAAAATTTTGATTATGATAAGAATTTTCCAACCTTTACTACCTTCTTTTTGAACATATGAGTTAGCCAAAGCCATTTCCCCTTAATGACATGTTAGGGACCCTACAGTAAGAAACTGATCTTGAGCCACCCAGGTGGTATAGTGGTTAAGGCAGCTCTGGACCACACATGGCTAACGGTGTGGTTTGAGTCCCAGACCCAGAAGTTTGGAGAATACTCTGGGGGTGTGTGCACGCTTGTGTGCCTAAAATCCAGAAAGGAGAAATGGAGGAGGAAGGATTGTGGTGTAAGCATCCCCCCATGGGAGGTGTTTTCCCCTTCCCCTCCCTCCCTCCAGCAAGCACATGTACCCATTAGCAGATTTTTAAAAAGAAGAAACTGATTCTGTTGGTGTCCAGCTTCACCCATTAACTAGGGTCTACATCGAACCTGTCAGCAGGGTTGTTCCCCCTATTAAAATCATATTGTTTTGAATTGCCATGTAAGACAGGCTCTAGCCTGACACTTGCTCCTCTAAATAGGAATCGAGTACTTAGTCCTCACATGCTAAAATCAGGATTGGGCTGGGGGGGCAACAGGTAGCACGGTGGGTAAGGCACGGGATTCCCAGATGGCCAGCTGGTTCGAGTTCTAGACCTAAGTGGCTTGAAAGTCATAATAAATAAGTAAAATTTAAAAAAATCAGGATTGCAGGTGGAGTGGTGGTTAAATGCACTAGACTCCCACATGGCCGACTATGGTTTGAGTCCTGGACCTGGCAGCTTGCTATCTGTCTCTGATCATAATTGAAAAATAATGATAATAAATCTTTAAAAAAAAAATGTCAGGATACAATTAACAACATGCTTATGTTCTGTAATGCTATTGGATTTATTCATATACGTATATCATTTGATCATTGATAAAATCCGTAGTTCAGAAGAGGACTGTAAAAGAAACAGAAATTTTTTTCTCCTTGATTTAAATTTGAAGGAAATGGGACCAGCAGATGGCATAATGGCTATGTCGCTGGACTCCCATGTAGTCAACTGCAGTTCGAGACCCAGATACAGCAGCTTAAATTCATGCTGGGCGTGTGTATGTGCGTGCCCAAGATTCCAAGAGGAGAATGGAGGAGAAGGGATTGCGGCGTGACCATCCCCCCTGGGGGGTGATTTCTCGCTTTCTGTATGTCTCTGTCTTTCTGGCAAGCACATGTGCCCTATAGCAAAAACCTCTCTCCAAAATAAATAAATAAATAAATAAATAAATTTGAAGGGAAAATTAGGTAATGTTTTCCCCTAAAGAAATGTTAATGTTCATTTGTGGTTTGACTTTGCTTATGACTTAGTTTTGCCCGTTTCTATATTTGTTCATTTAAAACCACAAGTGTTATTTTACTTGACGTTCATTTTTCTGGGGATTTTCCTTGACTAATGTCTTACAGAATTACTTACCCTTGATAAAAATAAACTTTGTCATCTAAAATGGTTCTCACAGTTTAGGACTTCCAATTCTTCCAGGAGGGCACCCCTGTTTTGAAAGGGTAAGTCAGTATTAGTTACCTTAACTCTGTCATTTCTTCACAGTGTCAAATTAGCAGATCACTTTTCCAAGTTTCAGAAGCCTCTTATCTCTTCAAAGTGTTAGGAAGTAGTTAAAAAGATCTCTGGTGGGCTAGAAGGTGGTACGGTGGTGAAGGCACTGGATTCCCACCTGGCCAACCATGGTTCAAGTCCCAGACCTGGGGGCTTCTTTTCTGCCTCTCACACACTTGCACACACATTTGCTCGCTTCCTCTGGTGAGTACACGTGCCCCAGGGCAAACTTTCAAAAATACTTTTAAAATCTGAATAATTCTTTAAAAAAAAAAACAAACTGTTGGCCATTTGTCAACCTGGGACCTTCAAAAGCACAATGATTGGGGCCAACAGGTGGCGTGGTGGTTAAGGTGCTGGACTCTCCCACATGGCTGACCACAGTTTGAATACTGGACCTGGCAGCTTGCTTTTTCACTTTACCTCTCTGTCTGTCTCTAGTCAAATTAAAAAATAATTATAAATGAAATTAAATAATTCTTTGGGGAACAAAAATGGACGATGTGATGATAAGATGTGCCGTGGTGCTCTTCATCACAGGCATCGGGGTGGCTTGAAGCCCTTTAAGCAGCTTATACCAAGAATGGGCTTAGATGTTATTTCTGTTAGTCACACCTATGATTTACTGTTCAGCACTTCTAGATGTCCATGCTGTATGCTTTCCGTCTCATTTAGGAGACAGTCCACTTCTAAAAATAACATCTATAGTTGATAAATTTTTGGCCAACCAGCCTTCTGTAAAAGGCAAGTATGTTATACTTGAACCTACTTCAAATGCCTTTTTATAAACCAAAGGTCTTTTCCAGCTGTAAAAAAAAAAATAACTAAAGTTAAAGATACACAGTTGCTAACCATTTTGGTAGAAGATTTGAGGTATTAGTTTTATCTTTATAAAATCATGTCATCTGAAAGGTCTTAGCACCTAAAAATAATAAAGTCCCAGTGCAGTTTGGAAATAGTTTCAGCGTATGTCTATAATCCACGATAATTCACAATCACCATCAAACTTTAGAATCATTAATCAAAGGTGGCATGGTGGTTAGGGTGGCTGGGTTCCACATGGCTGACTGTGCATAGGAGTATGTGTGCGTGCCCAAAGAGAGGAGAATGGAGAAGGGGCGATGGCATGGTCATCCCCCAAGGCATGATTTCTCCCCCCACACTCTTCCCCCTTCCCTCTAGCTAGCACACACCCCTTTAGCAGATTTTGAGGAAAAAAAAATCATTAGTTGGATTATGTACTTGTCACTCCTACCGCACATCATGGAGAGTCTACAGATTTGTATTTGCTAATGTAGTTCTGTTTAAATGATGCTATTGTGGGTTTTACTCATGCATCTTTTATGTTAATAATTTTTTTAAGAAGCAGTCCATAATACTCAAATCCAGGAATCCAAATGAAAGTTCCATTTCAATGCAAAATCTCTACAGAGATAAAAGAATTCAGAGTTCTGTATTTCAGAGTTGGCTTGTTGAACTAGGCTAAGACACTTGGCTAATGTGCTTCCAAGACTATGTGTTTCTTTATTGTGCTCTCAATTGCGTTTTGTTTAATCTCTTACAGAAGTCTCTACCTCAGGCTAAGTGTTATGGTTAGCATATTGATACCGAAAAACTAAGCTAGGACTTGCAACTTTTTAAAATAACGTCAATGTAAAATGTAACTGTTAACCAGCAATCTAATGTCAATAGGGTGTGCAATTTGGATATTGCATGAACAGCTAAGGAATTACCTGTTCTAGTGCCAAAGATCACTCATTGGATTGATTTTGTTTGGTATGGTTTATGTAAAACTTCCGTGGTGAGACTGACTCTGTGCATAGGGCCTTGTCTCTAAAAAGATTTTGTCTGTTCCAAATGTCTTGTCAATTCCAAATACAGTTTAGAAGATTCATTTGTGGTCTGTGCATCTTTTCCCAAAACTTGAAACCCGTTGAAAACTCGGCTGCCAGGAAATGTTGTATTAAGGATTTTCTCTCATTCTTTGAATAAAATAGTACCCAAGAGCTTAATGGTTTACACAGAAAACCTGATCCGATAATCTCTTCTCAACACATTTACCTGTAAATTAATCTTGGTGGGAATACATGAGCAGAGAAATCTCCAACTAGACGTTTGGACTAAAGTGATGCCCCCTCTCGTTTATTTTGATCTTGACTCATTTCCTAATGCTGCAATCTCCCCTTCCCCTCCAGACTTAAACGGGACCTCCCCGTGTTGGATCGCCTCTCAGTGTCTCTCTTAACCACTGCGCCACCGAGCTTCTCTGAAACTGCTGTGACTGAGTGATCAGGGTACCTGTGGTGTCACAGACTGGAAAGTACGATGACGTGGTGTGGGAGGAGAGGGAAGTTGGGGCCCAAGCTCAGAAGCTTTATCTCTGGCTCCATTTGGTTCTTGCCTGTCCTTGAGGAATGTCTTCTGAGAGGGATGCTGGCGCACACGCCGAAGTCTCCTTGGTGTGTCTGGCCCACCTCAGCAGGGAAGGGATGGGAGAGGGAAGCATTCATAGCAACAACGCCCTCT